ATTCAAGTATTCACAGGTTACTTTGAAGAAGCTTCTTTGATGTTTCCCTGTGCCAGTTTGTTTTGGAAGGTGCTTTAATGGTCTTCCCCTATAAAAATAACACTTTAAAATGTATGTAGGTATCTCAGCTCTCCACTTAAAAAAATGAGCAAAGTTGTTTAATGCTGCTGTTCAAGGTACATTAACCTTGTCTGCTAAAGCTCTGACTGGCTCTTGCAGGTTTTATTCTCATGTTTATGTTGCAGAGATATCCCTGGAGCCTTTCAGAGATGGGTATCTTTGGAGAGGAGAGAAATATTTAGCAGTAATTGTTGTTCTCATCAGAAATCCACTGAAGCAGCTCCATCCTTTCTATGCAGCTGAAGTTGGTGGGAGGATTGGGAAATATTAATTAAATAAATACCTGTAAATATTAAACAAAAAAATAAAATATTAAATACCTAGGTGAAAAATATTAAATTAATAAATGCTCCTTTTCCTGGTGCTCAGGGGCCCATCCAAACCAGTGCTTGGCAAGAGTTTTTTTGGCATTGTCCAACATGGTGTTTCCCTCTCCCTTTTATCCCAGTGCTTATGTGTTGACCAACTGCTTTTTTAGGAGAAAAACGGAAAAGGCATTTGCTCTGTCTAGACTTTGTTCTACAGAAGTATCAAGTCACTGTCTGCTTTAACCCATGCTTGTAGCAGAAACACAGAGTAAATTTCTACTTTTTTTACCAGGCAATAATTAATAACAGGATACTGGGAGGGTATGGAGGTCAGCATTTAGTAAAACCAGCACCTTGGCCAAGAGCAGAAGATGCTGTCAGTGCAAGAAAACCTCCTGGGATTGGATTGAGGAAATTTGGCTATGATCTATTCTTTTAAAAAATTAAAATTACTTGGTGGCGCAGTGGTAGCTTTGCACAAACATTCCTGATCTCCCCAGATGAGGTATTACATGAGCCTGTTTGGAAGCAACCTTGAACATGGGGGAATGGCCAAGAATGGGTAATGTCTTGAAAAATAGGATTATTTTCTAGTTTTGACCATTCAATAGCACTTGATTTATTTTTAACAAGCTCAGGGTGGCATAAAGGACTTCCTGTAATGACATGAAAACCTGCTATTCATCTTTCAGGGTACTTTTGTTACAAACAGGCAAAAAAGGTGGAGATTTGTTGATAGAAAGGAGACATTCAAGAAGAGAGGGTCGCTCTTAATTCGCTTTATGGCCAATCAAGAGCTGGCATCACCTGCCGAGGGTGAGGCTGTGCTGGTGCTCTGAGTGAGATGTATTGGCCTCTGGAGGAGCCTCTCCATCCCTGCTCTGCTGTATTTCTTCATTTTGACTTAGCTGAGTGCATATATAATAAACTTCAGCCTGCACGAGCCCTCTGCGAAGATGGTGACATAAAAAACTCGCAGCCTGCTGCAGGGAGAGCGTGACTGACACGTTGAGAATCTCACAGCATCCCCTCTTCCAAAAAATCCCCTTTGGAAAAGGCAATCTTCCCTTAATGCAGGAAAACACCTTCCATGGCTGGTAAAAAACCATCCTCAAGTATCTCTAATTATTTTGATGCTTCAGGTGGAGAAGGAAAGGCTGAAAAGCTGTTTTCCTGATTTTTTCGTGTTGAATCCTCCATTATCAAGTGCATGTGTTGCTGTGGGGCAGAATCTTCTCAGTGAGCTAGAAAAAGTGATCCTCATTTTCCCATTGGCTCAGAAACAAGAGTTGTGCTTTACAGGTTGAGTATTAACATTTTGCATTGAAAACAGTGATGTAGAGTCCATAAAAGGGAATTTTAATTTGTTTTTTTTTAAATTTAGCCCAAATTCTGACCAGCCCTAACCATTCTAATGTGGGTTTATGGCTGTTTTATTAATCAAGGAGGTCATGTTCACCTGGAGGGTGGTGACAATACTTTGGTATTTTAAGTGTTTTAAGGCATCAGGAAAAAAAAACAAACCCAACCTTTCAACTTAGTCTTTAATTATTTTTACTTGAAAAAGAATATAATATATTGCTGGTAAAAAAGCCCAGCCTATAAATCTGAGAGTCTTTTAGATAGGCACAAGCTCTTCGGGAAATACATTTCCAACGTAATGGCAGCATTTCAGTGGTAGCTGAAATAATTTTATTTCATAAGGAAATTTAGGATACTTTGATCTCAAGTCACTGCCAAAAAGAGAAGTACTGCTGCTTCCGGAAATGAAAGAGCCTTTATGGGTTTTTATTGCTCACCATTTCTTTCTTCTGTGCAAATCCCCCAGGAGCTGGCTGCAATTCCTGCCCTCCCTGATCTCCAGATCCCCAGAATTCGCTCTTCACCCAAGATCTGAACATTTCCTCTGGGAATGAGGTGGGCTGGGAGGAGCTGGCAGGGGTTTGGTGATGCTCTGCTCCTTCCAATATTTGGATGCCCACAGTCAAGAGCTCACGCAGACAAATTAATTTAAGAACTGGGGGAAAGAAAGAAAAGAGAGGGGATTCATGTATAAACCAAAAATACACAAAATAAGTAAGGGTTAATGCACGTAATGGCAGCTTTCAACCCTTCCCTGCGCTGGCTGCTGATAAATCCATGGGGCTGACAGCTCTGCACTGTTGTCCTGAGATTCATGAAACACCTGTCCAGCTTCTCCTGAGGGCACCAGACACTTTCCTGGATATTTACAGTGCCTCAGTGCATTTGTTTCCCCCAAGATAAATAAATATACTGCTATTGGCAACAGCTGTCTCCCACTTTCATCCCTGTTTTTCCCCCCCTGCCCACATTTAGCTGTCAGCCCTATTCTCCAAACAAACCAGCACCCATAAACCTCAATGAACTGCTTGATTGGAGCAGTTTAGATATTATTCAGCAATTAAATTGGGCTCTGGGCTGCCACCTTCTGGGAATAGACTCACCCAAAAAGCTCACACCCCACAGCAAATCGCCGCGTGCTGGTTGTAGGATTGCTCTTGGCAGGAACAAGAAATGGCAAACAGGGTATTTTTCCCAAAATAGCAATGTCTTTTATTTTTTTTTAGCTTCCCACACAGATGTCCAGACTGTCACAGTGCTAAATTCTGCTTTTCCCCAGCTGAAAGTGTTTCTGGTGGGGAGGTTTTTCCCTGGGTGTTGCCCCCCGAGGACACGGATATTTGTGTGCCTGCAGCTGCGAGCTGAGTTTTGACATTGGACATCAAAGGTTTTAAGCTGTGAGTTCACTCAGGAGCAGATAATTTTGCCTCCTGCTATTTTGCTGTTGGGAGGAAAAAGATGAAAAGCATCATTTTAATCCCATAAATGCAATATCCTCACTGCTAGAGGTCTGTGTCATGCAAGAGCCCTGATCTACCTTCACAATGCACAGGATTTTGGGTGTGATTTCTTAGTATTCAATTCATGGGTTATCCATATTTGTGCAAAGTATAAGAAAGAATTACCTCATTTATTCATGCAAAATAAAGAAGAGTTGTTGATGCTCATCCCTTGCACTTGGCTTTCCATTTGGATGTGGTGCATTTGTGAGCTTAGTGCCTAGCAAAGCCTGAAGCCTGGAGAAAATCAGAATATTGCACCTCTTCCCCCAAACAGGGAGGACTAAATTTTTCACAAAGGTTCCCAAATGTGCTTCAGTTTTTGCTGAGCTCATCAGTGCCTCTGTTCCTCCTCCTTGCACCTTCCTGCCTGTCACCATTTCGTGGTGAAAGAAATGCTGGCAGTGTTTTTTGGTTATATTCCCTCACAATATCAGGGGACTTCCATAATTTCTGCCTTTCCTCGTGGGATGGTGCCATGGCTCTTCTCCAGATGAGGAGCCAAGGGGAAAGCCAGTGCATCACAACCTTGGGAAGGTGTTGTCTCTTACAGAAAGGAGGCATTGCAAGAAGAAAGGAGGAAAAAGGAAGATTTTTTTGGGTAACTCTGTGAGCTGCCCCAGACCAGAACTTTGAGCCACAGAGAAGACAGGACAGAGTTTTTTAAGAATTCAGGCAAGATAATTCGCTTTTCTTTCTAAAGCAACCACACAGCTGCAGTGAAATAGTGGGAGAGGAGGTATTTTCAGGGCCAAGAATTGCTTTTGGGTCACATTTACCACCAGGTTTATTTGTTGAGGACTTTTCCCAACCAAGTGCTCCACTACAAATTTGTTCCTTCCTGGTTCCCCTCTTTTTTCTCCATCTCCTTTCAACCTGAAGATACTAAAAAATTAGTCTGTTTTCCTCCCAGATAACTGCATTTTGGAGAAAGCAGCAGCTTCCTGAGAGGCTGGGGGCTGTGTGAGGACCATCTCCTCAGTTTATGGGGTGTGCAAAATCCAGGTTTGCTGCCTGGTTCAAATCAAACAAGAGTTTCCACATTTCTGTGCATTCAGTCACCACGGGGTCAGCCACTTCAACCCAGGAGACAGATGGGTTGGACAGCACAGCTTAGGAATATGTTAAATAAATTAATAAGTAAATATCTTAAATATGTTGGTGAATCACCACACTGGGTTCTCAATGTCCCTTCTGAGCTGAGCATGAGGATGTGACTCTGTGGTGACCAAAAGCAAAGAGATGCAGCATTTTAGGAGGGTTTAGTGTATAATTTAAGAAAATGGCAAGGTTTGCATGTATGGTTTGTCTTTCTGCTTCCAGAAAAGAGAAATAGCTGGAAAGGGGATGGAAATCCCCATTTGGGCAGTGTGGTTAGGCATGAGGGGTGGAAAGAAAGTGCCCTGGGTGTACCAGGGTTGACAGGGGAGAAAATATGAGTTTCAGTGATGGCACCATCATCTCCAGTGAAGATGTCCCTGTGAGTGACCTGCTTCTCTTCACCCCCCCGTGCATTCCTCATCCAAACTCACAGAATCTCACAGAATCATCAAATCACCATAAGGCTCATCAAACCACCTCGAGTTTCTTCCAGGGACTGTGTGGCAGCGTGCAGTGTGAGGAACGTCAACTCTCCTCTCCGTTTTGTTGTTTTTCCTTCCCTTCCTGTGGGCTCCCTGGTGACCCAGCAGCTGTGTTCTCCTGCCCGCAGGTTCTCCATGTGACTCCCAAGCAGGATGCACCATGTCTCCCCTGCACCAGCTCTGACCATGATGGCCACCCAGACCGTGCCTCCTCCTCCCTACCAGGACACCCCACAGGTCAGTGGCCTCCGGGTAGTAAGTTATTCAAAACATTGGTTTTTTGGGTTGTTGTGGTTTGTTTAGTAGCTTAGCTAAAGGTGTATATATATTTTATTTTTTTGTAATTTTTTTCTTTTTGCTTAGGGTTGGTGTTATTTTCTATTTCTATTTCTATTTCTATTTCTATTTCTATTTATATTTATATCTATATCTATATATATATTTATATATATATACATATCTATATCTATATATAGTTATATTTATACTTTTATATTTATATTTATAATCTATATTTATATCTATCTCTGTCTATCTCTATCTCTATCTCTATCTCTATCTCTATCTCTATCTCTATCTCTATCTCTATCATCTATATCTATATCTATATCTATATCTATATCCATATCCATATCCGTATCTATATCTATATCTATATCTATATCTATATCTATATCTATATCTATATCCATATCCATATCCATATCCATATCCATATCTATATCTATATCTATATCTATATCTATATCTATATCTATATCTATATCTATATCTATATTATATGTCAAACATTTATAGTTTTTAAAATGTCTATTATTTATATTAAATGGTGTTTTTTATTTTAAATTAATTTGTGAGTGTTAATATTGTTAAGAATATGGAGGTAAGGAAGAAGAAAGAGGGAGGATAGGATAGGCTTAAATTTTTTCATTTTAAAGCTTTTGACTTTTATGTATAAAATTAAAACTTCTTTGTATAGGATTTAAAAATTTTTTGTATAGTATTTAATTTTTTTTAATTTTGTGATTATTTTTATTATAATATTTAAATTTTTGTGATTTTTTGGTTTTTTTTGTAAGGTTGGTAAATTATTTTATGGCTTAAATTTAAAATTATAGTTGTTTTTAGTTGCTTGTTAGGGTTTTAAATGTTTTTGACTTGGCCTTGGAACATTTAAAAATGTCTGAGGGACATTTTGAATTTTGACACAGCTCCTGCATGAATTACCTTGATTTCTTAACTAGTGGCCATTACAAAATATTTCACCCCAGAGCATTCATCTCAGAGACTGGCAGAATTAAAACCTCTTCTGTCAATCTGCAAGATGGAAACATTTTGGGTAAAATGGTGGGGTTTTCCCCATTTTGTTCCCCAATTCGTGAAAAAATACTGATTTTTTCACAAATTTCAGCAGAGAGGCAGGCAAACCAACCACTTTGCAATAGCTTTCCAGTGGGATTTTAGGCTGAAACCTCTGGATTTGGGGGGCTGCTGATGCCTTTGAGCCTCAGTAGTTTCAAATATCTCAAGCTGCACCAAGGGAAATTTCGGTTGGATATTAGGAAGAAGTTTTTTACATCAAGAGTGATAAAGTTCTGGAATGTTCTGCCCGGGGAGGTGGTGGGGTCACCATCCCTGGGTGTGTTTAAAACAAGCCTGGAGGTGGCACTGGGTGCCAGGGCTGGGTTGAGGTGTTGGGGCTGGGTTGGGTTTGATGATGTTGAAGGTCTCTTCCAACCTGGGGATTCTGTAAATTCTGTGAATTCTGTGATTTTGGAGTTTTTGTGTCTTCTTGGGAAGCTAACGTGGTGCCGTGATTGTAACCAGCAGGTTAATTAGCTGGGAAGATGAAGCATTTGACTAAACCAGGACAGTTTAGTCACAGGGATGGCCTTTGATTTATTTCAGTGGCATTTTTTAATAACCTGGGGCAGGGGAGAAAAAAAGATTTCATCTCCAGTGGTGCTTTAAGCAGTCATTAAATAACTTTTTCAAAACTCGTTATGGAGTCATTATAAGAAGAGGAGTTTGTCCAAGAGAAACTCTTCTGGAGAACCCCAGTGGGCTGGGCTTGGGAGTTGAGGATGGATTTTGGAGATGGCCCTGCACCGTGAAGCCCATCCTGAGATTTTTTAGGGGTACATTTATATCACATTTCCACTTTTACAGCTACAGGGGTAATCTGTATTGTGCACTGAGCCAGCTTCATTTTCAAAGCAGCTTTTTTGGTGCTCATATGGAAGATTTCAAGCTTTTCCTCTTCTTCCGCAAAAGCAGAAAAATCTCCCCTCCCAACAAAAAAACCAAACCAACACAAAAAAACCCCTCAAGCCCCTAAGCCTATCCTCTGCAAGCTAAAATAAATAAATTTACTTTTAGACCCCCCCTTGAAGCCACCCGTGTCTCCTTTCTCCTCATTTCATTTGGTGGGAAAAGGTCACTTCTACAAACGACACCTCAGTGGGGTTTTATGGCTCCTCCAACTCCTGTGTCATCATTTACTCGCTTCGCTGCTCTGCCTTGAGTAGGGCTTTTTTTTTTATTTTTTATTTTATTCCCAAATTTTTTTTTTTTTTTTCCCTTTTCTCGCTTACACAGCGGGGGAGCCACGGCACCGTTTGAGTCCTAATGGGCAATTTAAGGGACTTTTAAAATAGCCGAAAATAGCCGACATTTTCCGTGGCATCCTTCTCCCTCCCTGTCCCTTATCTGCCCCCTGTTTTTATACACTGAATTTTGGGGACCCTCAGGACTAAATCCTTCCTTTTTTCCCTTATCAAGGCGGTTGCTCAAGCGTTTAGTGGGTTTGGAGTTAAAGCTGCAGCCAAGAATTGATTTTTTTTTTTTTTTTTTTTTTTGTCTCTGTGTTTCCCTTTTATTTTTTTTTTTTTTTTTTTTTTTTTTTGACTCGTCTGCGACTGCTGTGAACTTTTCACCTGAAAATTTGGGATTTCTAGGGATTGGAAAAGCAAATGGCACAAATTTCTTCTCCCCAGAAGTGGGGATGACTGGATAAATGGAAAAAAATTATTGATTATCAGAGCTACAATGAGCTCCTCTTCATCAAGGGAACTGCTTTGGGGAGAAAATTGCTAAAAAAAGGGATTTGGGGAGTTCTGCATTCATGTTTTACAGCAGGGGCTGTGCAAGCTGTCACCCTCACTGTCAGAAACAGGAAAAAATGAAGCAAAAATGATGGGAAAAGCTGCTTTTGGAAGGAAAAAATGCTTAATTAATCCCTGGAATCTGTTAATGGAGCATCTTTTACACCAAGCATGGTCTCACACCTTGAGTTCTCTACCTGTTGAAAATGAAAGTCTACATTTAAATCAGTTTTCTGTAATGAATGAAAACCAAAAGCTGAGGAAAAGTATTCAGCCATTTCATTGGCAAAAAGAGGATTTTTTTTTAAAAATAGGTGTTTTAGCATAAAAAGTGGTGAAAGCAGCTTTGCCCTACCAAAAAAATGTTTCTTAGGTTGTCACAAGAGGGGGGAAAAAAGGGAGGAAGGGGGATTTATTTATTTATTTATTCTAAAAATATTTTTAAGAAAAAGTGTTATTAAAAATTCGGTTAATTTTTCATAAATTTCAGCATGGAAAGTGATAAAAAGCATTGTCCCCCCAAGTGGTTACAATAGGGACAAAAAGATAAAAAACAAAACAAAACAAAACAGGAAAAAAAAAAACCAAAACAAAACAAACAAAAAAAACCCCCACCAAAATCTTACTCTGTAAATATATTTTGGAAAAAAAAAATCAAATGGTGAAGTTGATTTGTCATAATTTTCAATACACAAAAAATTATAAAAGTATCTTTCCTCCTCCCCTCCTCCCCCTAAAAAGTGCTTTTTTTGGTGGTTATAACAGGGACAAAAATAGAAAATTATGAACATAGTTGTATCTTTTTAATGACAAAAACCATTTTTTAGAAAGTCACAGGTTAAAAATTGGGTGGAGATTGGGATTTTTCAGTAGGAGCCACAAATCCCCCCAGTTCTGGTGTCCTCAGCAGGTTTTTGGGCTGCTTTCAGCATCCCACTGAGGAGCAGGTAAATGATGATTTAAGGGATTTCCTCTCTGGACTTGATGTCTTTGTCCAATCTTTAAATAAAATGTAAAAATGGGGGATTATTGTATTTAAACCCCCCAGAACCCAGGAGCAGCCCCCAACACCAGCAGAGGATTTCCTTACAAAAGAGGAAAAAATCCCAGAAATATCATCCCTGAACCCTAAAATTTATAACATCCAAACCCAGAATTCTCACACCTGAACCCCAGAAATTTGTAGTTCCCAAACCCCAAAAATACCATCCCTGAACTCCAGAAATTTGTAATTTCCAAACCCAAAACTATCATCCCTGAACCCCAGAAATTTGTAATTCCCAAACCCAAAAATACCATCCCTGAACTCCAGAAATTTGTAATTCCCAACCCCAAAACTATCACCCCTGAACCCCAAAAATTTGTAATTCCCAACCCCAACAACACCATCCCTGAACCCCAGAAATTTGTAATTCCCAAACCCAAAAATATCACACACAGCTCAGGCAACACTGAGCAAACACCATCTCTGCTTTACCCTGGAGCTCTGCAAAAACTCAGTGATTTTTAGATATTTCTTTACTATTTCTTTATTATTTAAAAAGTTTTGTTATTACTTTCTGTCTAAAAAATTCTTATTTTTTGTATCTGTAAAGCCCTTTTGTCATTTTCTGCATTTTATATATTTAAAATGTATTTTTAAGGATATTTTGAACATAATTTAATTTTTGAAAACATTTTAGCACCGCTTTTTGTATATTCTACGTTTTAAAGTGTTTTGGGTTTTTACATAATTGCAAACATATTTTTTACATTTTCCTGTATTTTAAATACATTTTAATGTATTTATAAACCATTTTTTTATCTTCATATCTTTGAACGCATTTGTAACATTTTAAAATTTTACTTTTCCAATATATTTGTAAGCACACTTTGAATATATTTAAAACATATTTTAACAAATTTTAAACAGTTTACATAATTATTGTCATAATTACAATTTTTTCTTCCCTTTTTTTTTTCTTCTGCTTTTTAAACAGAACTTTTTGTGCTTTTTATTTTCCTTTTTAATTTACCTTTTTTCCCCCCCATCCTGCAACGATTTTTGGCCATTTTCCATGGGAAAAAGAAACCAAACCAAAACCCACCTGCATTTTTTATGAAAATTTACAACTTTTACACCCAAATATTTCCTCTTATTTCCCATTTTCCCACTACCAGGAACCTGCTGCCTTTTCCCTCCCCACCTGCTCCTCCAAATGCCATTTTTGGCTCATTTTTTTTTCCCTCCTCCTTATTCAGCTGCAAATCCCCCCCATCCCAGCATCCTTTCCCCTCTTTTTTCCATAGACTTGAAATTATTTTTACTTATTTTTTGTTGTTTTCTTTAGTCCAAGGTGAGGTAATGGCTTCGGAGCAGCCCCAAAGGAGGTTTTTTTTCTTTTTTTTGGGTAATAGCTCAATTAGTTGCAGACTTGGCTGGAAATATTCAACTTGGCAGGATGCAAAAGGGGATTTGGAATCCTGGTAAATAAGTGTGATGTAGGGGGGAGAAAAAAAAGGGAAAAGGTTGGGGGGAAAAGCCATTTTTCCCTGCACAAGTGTAATTTTCCATGGAGATAATAGGGAGAAAAAAGGGAAAAAAGAGGATGAGATATTCAGTGATGTGTCTGGATTATCCCAAAATCTGCTCCATTTTGGTTTTAAATGGAAAATGGGGGGAAAAAAGGAGAAATCCCAACTGCTGGGATCAGCCCAAATTTCACTCATTTCTTCAGCACCAGGGAGAGGAAGAGGGACAGAAATTGAACCTGTTGGGAGAGCTGGAAATTAAATAGAGCCAAGTGAATTTGCAGGTGCTGGAGCCCAACTTTGGAGTTATGAACAATAAAGGAGATTGAAAAAAAAGAAAAAAAAAAAAAAGTGGAAAAAAACCGACAGCAAAAGGTCAGGCAGGAGATATTAAAGGCAAACATTTTAAAAGCAAAAGGTGTCATGAGTTTGGTCCAGCTTGGATTTATAAAGTTTTACATATTTGTGTATAAATATACATATATATATATATATACACATTTACAGGAATTAATGCCACGATAATTTATGTATGTGGACATTTTTATATATTAACAATCACATATTAGACAAATAAATAAAAAATACATATTAGTCAATTTCTGTATAAATACAGAAACAAATATATAAATGTATCAGACGAATAATATATATTATTTATATAAAAACACAGGCAGGAATAAATGAGTCTATTAGACAAATAAATAAATTATATATATAACACTTAGCAAGAACCAGAGCTTCCTTTTCCTCCGTGCCTTGAGGGAGGACTGAACATTTACAGGTAAAAATAGGCAAATACTGATTTTTCCACAAATTTCAGCAGAGAAGCAGGCAAACCAACCACCTTGCAATAGCTTTCCACTGGGATTTTAGGCTGAAACCTCTGGATTTGGGGTGCTGCTGATGCCTTTGAGCCTCAGTTGTTTCAAATTCTCCCTGAATTTTTTTTTTTAATGGAATCTTGTGATGACAACACAAAGACCACATTGGACCTGTCTGAAGTCTGACATTGAGAAATTCAGATTTTTTTTTTTTAAGGACTTGATAGTTTTAAGGGGAAATTGGCCATAAATAGGTGTTGCCCTGTTCCAGGGGGTGGCACTTTTTGGGGTGATGTTGGCAGGAGCACTGGCACAAGCACATCTCCCATCTTCGGGATTCATATTTACCTCAAATCATTGCCATTTTAAGAATAAGCACAATGTTTGTTGTCAGGGTCATTTATTGCACAGCACGTTGGGGCTAAAGTTGGGTGATTTGGGCATGGACACCAAAAAATGTTGGAATATTTTTGGCTGTTGTCTCACATTGGGGCTAAACTTGGGTGATTTGGGCATGGACGCCAAAAAATGTTGGAATATTTTTGGCTGTTGTCTCACAGCTCTGAGGTGACTCATTGCTGGGCTTGGTGAGCTGGAAGAGGCTCACCTAATTTTGGGATAAAATTGAAAATGACTCTGTCTAGACAGTAATACCTGCTTTGAAAGAGCTCTTGGCAAACCACGTTGTTGCAGCTGATTTAATCTGGGATTTCTGTGAAACATCCCTTCCTAAATTACCCCACACAATGAAGATGGTGGGAGATTTTTCCTGTATTTTCCTCTGGTGAAAAGTGGAAAAAAATGGGGGAAAATGTGGTAAAAATCTAAACCTTCTCTTTCCAGACAAAGCTGAAATGCCTGTGTATGTTTTACCTGCCCCACCAGAGCGCTGCATCCCGAACTCCCAAAATCCCGCAGCGAACGCCGCGAAACCCATCAGGAAAGAACAGCAAAGCCCGCTTTTCGTTAATTCAATTTAATTTAATTTAATTTTACGTTCTTTTTCCCCTCTCTCCTTTATTCCCTGCCCTCCCCAGATGACAGCCACAGCCCAGCAGCCCACCAAAGCCCAGCCCGTGCACCTCACCACGCCGGCGGCGGCCGCCAACGCGCCGGTGCCGGCGGCGGGCGGCGACCCCCAGGCGCAGCTGGAGGCCGACAAGAGGGCTGTCTACAGGTGAGGAGAGATAATTGCATTCATTAATGCCCTTTAATTAACGGTTCCGTTGTTATAATGCGTCAGTTGTTGCATTATGGCGGGTTATTGCATCGGTTCGGCGATGCATTAATTAATGCATCGGTCGCCGGATCGCTTGGTTGGTGCATTCGTTGTTATTATGCATTATTAATCTGCTGTTCTTCTAATGCATTAATTAACACACGGCAAGGGGGGAATTAGCAATTAGCTCCTTTTTAGCAATAACAACCATTGATTGTAACGCGTGGTGATGGAGCTCCTTCGTGGACTTTGTTCTGCAGCATCTCTGCCCCTTCAAAATGTCCAAAAAAACCCCAAATTTATGTTTTCGGGGGCAAAGCCATGTGATTTGGGGCTGAACAAGGAGTGAAGCCACACATTAACCTGAAATGTGCAGTTCTTGTATCTGTACAGCATGTGGGCCAGGCATGAGTGGCTCCTCCAGTCCCTTTTTTGTCAATTTGGGCATAATAATATATTATATTTTAATATATGCAGTAATGTTATTGTATAACTACTATAAGTAATGTTCTAATTATGTAAATAGTATAATTATATAAGTAATATGTAATTATACAAGTGATATGTGATGATTTACAATATTAGAACATAGAGTAACGATGTAAAAGTAACAATATTCTAATTTAATTAGGATTAAAGTTTAAGGTTTAGGATTAACCTATCAATGACCGGGGTTTGTGAACCAAAAAAGTGCAGCTCGGACTTGAAGAAATTAAAATATTTGTCCTCCAGATATTCAAATATTACAAGGCTGAAAGGTCTGAAAAGGTGGATGAAAGTATGGAATAAACTCAGTCTTTCCCAGGAAAACACCAAGGATTATTCAGTGCCGGTTTTGCAGTGGTGGAAGTCATTTCCTCAAAGCAAAAGAAGCAATTTGAGAACAAAAATATTTCTTTTTGCCCTTCCATGAGGAGTTCTGCAGCATTTGTGGGATAAAGGGAAGAAAACAAACCCCACCCTTGGAGTTTTCACAACCTTAATTAGAAGGTCAAAGACATGCAAAAAACACCTCGTGGGAGGTCTTCACCCTAAAATCTAGGGGGAAATTGTTGCCCAGTTCCATGTATGCACTTGTTGCCCAAACCTGGATGCTTCTTTTTGGCTACTAGCCAAAATAACCCCAAAAATATATTTTTATATAAAACAAATATATCCTACTAGATATTTATGTAACACATTATATATTTACATTAAATTACCCTTTTCTTGCTGAATATCTCCCTATCCAGGGGTTAAAATGGATGGTGAGTATGTCATTAGGTTTCAAATGCACTCAAGGATTTTTCTTAGCCCTCCTAGGTCCATTTCCCTCCACCCAAAACAATGGATTTTTGTTAATTTTCAATAATTGCACCAAGGCAGAAGGCATTGGCTGTAAGCATCGGTCGATCAAGCTGGAGGGAAATTGGTGGGAAAATGTGATGGGAAATATAAAAACCCATGGACAAGTCACCCCGCCGGGTTTTATGCCCTAACAGGAGGTTTATCACCCATTAAAAAATAGGAAAAAAAGGGAAAAAAAGAAAATCCTTCCCCACCCTTCTTGGTGTGGGAGCAGCTTGGCAGGGCCTGGTCCAGCAGTGTCACTTCTCAGCTGCAATTTTCTCCCAGCTAAAGTGGTTTCTTGACTTTATGCAACAGCGGGGCTGGGACTTCCCAATGGATTTAGGTCCAGAAAAGATGATGCTCCTGAAGGGAAATGATGCTAAAACCACCCGAGCACCACAAATTGGATTTTTCCAAGTGGGAAATGCCTGGATTTCTTAGCATTAAGTTTTGTGGGGGACTTTTTGTGGGTTGGTTATTTTTTTTTTTTTTTTTTAGTTGGGGTTTTCTGGTTTTGTTTTGGGTTGTTTGGGGTTTTCTAGGGGAAAAGAGGTAAAAAAAAAAAAAATTCCTGTTGTGACGTGCCTGCTGTGCTGCTGGCTCGGCTGAAGGTGGGAAATTAGGCCATTAGAGGAATTCATTCCTCTTTATTAGCCCGTGTCGAATCCTTTTTATTAGTGGCTGCAAACGACCTCTCTCCTGCAGGAAAATGTCAGGGCTGGTTCAGCCCTTTCATTTGGAGGATTCCCTGGCAGAAAAAAAAAAAAACAAACAGCTAAACAAACCAATTTTTTTGGGTTTCTTTTTGCAAAACCATAATTAGCAAAAGCAGCTTTTTTTACCCCAAAACTCTCCTTTGTGCCATAGGGGTGGTTTTGCACCTTTGTAACACCCACAGTGAGAGAAATCCTCCTGATTCCTGTGCATCCTGCATATCCATTCATTCCCCCCACTGCAAATGTCATGGCAAAAAGGGGCTCCAGCTCTCAATTTTTATGCCACAACTTCCACCTGCCATGGTGGCCCATCCTTTCCTTTGCATGGTGTGGCCACGGAAAGGCTGGAAATGGAGAAAATTGGTTTGGGTTGGGTTTTTTCCTATGTGAACATGAAAAAACCCCACTTAAATTCCACAACAATTCAGCATAAAGCTCGTGGCAAAGCCCCAAATTCCAGCACTCCTCAAGACTGTTCTCAGAGGGGGCCCTTGGTGCCCTCCTTTAACCCATCCCTGGGGGTCTTGACCCCATGACTTCCCCTTGTGTTTGTTTTGGTTTGTTTTTTTAATATAGATATTTTAAATTTTAATTTTTTTTGTTTGTTTAATGTTATTTTATTTTGTTTGGTGTTTATTTTATTGTTTTGTTCCGTTTAATTTTATTTTTATTTATCGATGGATTTGATCGGCTTGGATTCCACTTGGGGCTTTTTTCTTTTTTTTCCTTTTCTTTATCTTATCTTAGATTTAAAATGTTTTATTCCATTTTATTTTCAGCTGAAAAGCAAACCATTCTCCCCTCAGCTGTGTTCTTTCCTCCTCCTACTCCCTGCCAGCCCCAAAACCTTCCTGGAGGCCCAGAGCAGCGCTGCCCCCATTATCAATACTGAGGAGCACGGGGTGATGCTGGCCTTAATCCCCCCTTGGCCAACGCAACTCAAATAAAAGGATCTCAAATTACTCAGGGGTTGCAACCCCCTTTTCCGCTCCCCAAACCCCCATCCTTGGGGTAATTCCATTCCTCTGCTCCTAATTGTTGGAGCAGCTCTGGGAATGGCAGCAGGCACCTGCTGCGGTGCCACCGGTTCCTAAGTCCCAATAATTCAACCTTCCGCCTGGAATTTGCCTTTCATATCCCTTGGCTAAGCTCCGGCGGGGCTACAGAAATTATGAAATGATTTCCCCCCCTCGCCACTCTCTGCTCCAGCCTCGGTGAATCTCGCATTAAACTGGGATCAGGACAGATTAAACTATAATATGCTGCGGTATTAGCGGCTGCAAATGAAGACTTAGCCAAGGGGTTTAACCCCTTCGCCTGACTCCGACTCAAAGGGGCTGTCAGGATGTGATTCATAATCATCTTTTGGGCCATCTTTTGGAGATAAAATGGTGGAGCCAGTCCCATTGTGCTTGGAGTGCTCTGGAATTCAATTCCTTCAGGAGAATTTTGCATTTCTGCCTGGAAAGACTCCATAAAACATTTTTGGTTTGAATTTGCACAGCTGGAGAGGCTCACTGAGGCTTGCCCTAAGCAGTGGTCCTCACCCCTGTATTGTCCACGTGCTTTGGTGCTGTTTGTGTAATTGCATTTGATGTTGCATTAGCTTAGCATCATCATTGGAGAGATTTGGCTTTCAAGAAGAACTAGAAATCTTTGTTTTCAAGATCATCTCATGGTAAGAAAGAAGAGGGATTTGACTCCTCTTTGTGGACTTGTCAGAGGTGCAGAGACCTCTTGGTGGAGGAGCAGCCCATAACAAGTTTGGTCCAGGCAGATAGAAGTCCCCATCCATCATCTCCAGCCAACAGACACATTTTGAGGTAAAATATTGCCATCGATGAGCAGGTGCTGATGACCATCCTTGAAAGGAAAAGACATTTGGACAGCAGATGGCTCCAGGACATCTTGGCTATGCCCAAGACTTAGCCTTTTTGCCTATTCAGGAAATGCTGACTTTGGTGCAATGATGGAAAACACCAAGACATTGGAATAAGTCATTGCCTGACAGAGGAGATTGTGAATTTTACAATTTTTAAGCCTTTATTTTTTGTTGTTGTTGCTGAATGAGACTTAGAGGGAGCACTTGTAGTGTGACTTGGGAGAGAGGTTTGCACCAGCAGGATCTTACAGACTGGGAGGGAATGGATGGATGGATGGATGGATGATGGATGGATGGATGATGGATGGATGGATGGATGGATGGATGGATGGATGGATGGAGGATGGATAGATGGATGGATGATGGATGGATGGATGATGGATGGATGATGGATGATGGATGGATGATGGATGATGGATGATGGATGAATGAATGATGGATGGATGGATGGATGATGGATGGATGGATGGATGATGGATGGATGGATGGA